GGAAGGAGGGGAGGGGCGGGGAAGGGAGGAGAGGGAAGGGAAGAAAAAGAAAAGAAAGAAAAAAAGACACTGCTACTTCAACAGCTAAGACTCTCATCACCACCCAGGTTCTTTTCCAACCTCTCTCTCCTGGGCCAATCTGAGCATGGCCTCACCCAGGCGAATGTATCCTTCAAGGCGAGCAATTAACCAAACTGGCTCAAGCAATTGAGAAGAACTGTGATTGCCAAGAAAAGATCTCTCCCCTTTTATACTCTGTGTCATGTATTTCTCTTGTATTTGATGTGATTTTCATGGGCATTTCTATAATTTCAGCTGCACCACACCAACCAGATACATTTCACCCTCCTGACCATCGCTCTCCTGGAAATGTTCTTCCTTTGGCTTCCATGACACCAACCCCACAAATCTGCTTTTCCTTCTAGTGTGCTGGCTACTGCTTTTCAAGTGGAGGGGAAACTGGCTTTTTTAGATCTTGGGGATACTGTGTATAAAGATATACACTAAAGGTAAGTTTCTAAGAAATTCCCTAATAGTAAAGAAATTTAATAAAAGTGGGAGGGAAAAATGGCTCATAACTAATAAATCAAGGAGCATTACACTCAGGTGAGCATTAGTACATGCAGTGTTTCCCGAGCGTCCCCTGCCTGACCCTCTCGCAGCCCCAGAACTGTGCAGGCCTTGTACAGCAGCATGGAGGGTAGTGGTCTGCCAAGGCTGTGCCAGGGAAAGGCTGGGGCAGTGTTACTGGTGACTACGCTGAAGGAAAACCACCCCATCAAGTATAATCAACGAGCTAATCACCCCCAGAGTTAAAGAAGAAATGACATTGTAGGATTGTTTTTGTACATCTGTTGCGGTATTGGAGACTGAAACCAGGGCTTTCGCACTGAGCTACATCTCCAGCTACCCCCTCCCCTTTAAAACAAGGTCTTAGCTGAGCGTGGTGGCACATGCCTATAATCCCGACACTTGGGAGGCTGAGGCAGGAGGATCATTGCAAGTTCGAGGCAAGCCTGGGCTACAAAGTGAGCTCAAGGCCAGCCTGAACTGCATAGCGAGACCCTGTCTCAGAAAGACAAAAAAAAAAAAAAAAAAAAAAGACAAAAAAAGAAGACAAGGTCTTGCTCAGTACCCAAGTTGTCAAGGCTGGGCGGAAAACTGGGATCCTCCGGCCTTAGCTGGAGCTCTGGAATTACAGCCATGTGCACCACACCTTGATGACACTGTGTTTTGTGTTTATACAATGGTGTCAGGCATAAAGTAGGTCTTATTTATTTTTACTGCTCTCATTATAAAGCATAGCGCTTGATAATTATTAAAATATTCAGTAAATACTGATTTAATAAATTAAGCCAGACTGATTGTGAACATCATTCAGGCCTTTAACCTAGTCAGAAGAATGAGTTGTCTTGAGTCAGGTGTGATAATCTGTGCCTGTAATCCCAGCACTCAGGAGGCTGAGGCAGAAAGATAATGAGTAAAAGGCTACCCTGAACTAGGTAGCAACACCCTGTCTCAAAAAAAAGCCCCAAAAGAAGCAATCACAGCACAACAAATAAAAAAAGAGAAAGAAGGAAAGGAAGGAAAGGAAGGAAGGAAGAAAGAAAGCAAGCAAGCGAGCCAGGCGTGGTGGCACATGCCTGTAATCCCAGCACTCGGGAGGCTGAGGCAGGAGGATCGTTGCAAGTTCGAGGCCAGCCTGGGCTACAAAGTGAGCTCAAGGCCAGCCTGGACTGCAGAGCGAGACCCTGTCTCAAAAAGGCAAAAAAAAAGACATTTTGAGAGAGAAATGCAGGGGCTTAAACTGCTGGTTTTGGAGCCAGTACTCTCAAATTCCTAAAAGGTCCCAATTTAAGGCCCAGCCACACTGACCATGTTAAAATGAAAAGCAGTGTGGAATATCTTTATGTATACATACATAACATTTACAGTACACAATTCAAAGGTATTTAATAGCCACAAGAGGGTGCTGCCACAATGGAATGAGACATCAACGTTTACTTCTTTGGATGCTTGAGGAAACGCTAGGCATTTTCAAACTTTCTGAAGAGAAACTCCTGGTTCTAAACCCTTCATTGTTTGCCAGATGCTCATATTTAAGGCTGTCTATCCATAACTTAGATCCCAAATCTTCTTAATGAGAAAGTCAGTGCATCTAGTCCTTAGCAAGTGAGTCCTTACACTATTAAATGCTGGTTAAGACAATGCACAGTAAAAATGTCATGCTTTACACAGGGATTATGAATGTGCTTAGAGCCATGTTCCAGGCTTACAGGAATTTTACTTGTGATACAGACACCATGCTTCCTTCCACCATCGATTGCCACTTGGACCTGCCATTATTTTAGCACATCTTATGGCCTGGCACACATAACCATGATTTCACTTTAAAATAAAGCCTCACTGAGCATGGTGGTGCATGCCTGTAATCCCAGCACTTGGGAGGCTGAGGCAGGAGGACTGTTGCAAGTTCGAGACGAGCCTGAGCTACAAAGTGAGCTCAAGGCCAGCCTGAACTGCATAGTGAGACCCTGCCTCAAAAAAAGACAAATAAATAAAAAAATAAAATAAAATAAAATAAAATAAAATAAAGCCTAAAGTTCCATTTAATTACTGTTAGGGAGCCAGGCATGTTGGTGTATGCCTATAATCCTAGTCCTTGGAAGGCTGAAGCAGGAAGTCTGTGAGTTTGAGACCAACCGAGGCTATATAATAAGTTCAAGGTTGGCTTGGGCTACATGTCAAGACCCTGGCTCTACAAACAAGCAGCAACAAAAACCCCAAACTAAAAATACAGCAACAAAATTACGACTAGAAATGAAATGCCAGCATCTCTACCTAGAGAGACTTCCTTGATCAGCTCAGCAGCAGCATGGCAACCCTGCACTAGTATCCTGGTCCAGGTTGACAGATCCCGATGCGTCTCCACCCTGAAAAGATGCATCTCAATGCCCTGCCGAGAGCCCGTCCGGGTAGCAAATGTGAGGTCAGATCCAAGGGAGGGCGATCGACATCCAGAGCCAGAATGAACCAACCTAGGACCACAGAGCAGAGATCGAAAGTAATTACTACATTATCAGAGGAAAATGTCAGGAATTCTTGCTCCTTGAAAAGTAGAAATTTATAAATGCCACCAACAGTTTTTGGATAAAAACATTTCAGAACAAGATTATTGTATAGTCTTCTCAAGTAGATACTATTCTGTTTTCCAACTCCTGGTGTCACAGCTTGAAAGGATACTGTCTTCACAGACATCTCTAGCTGGGTGTGGCTGCGCATGCCTGTAATTCCAGCTATGAAGAGGCTGAAGCAGGATGTTTGCTGTGAGTTTGAGGCCAGCCTGGGCTACACAGGGAATTCAAGGCCAGCCTGGACTACATGGTGAGAAAGTCTCAAACAAACAAACAAGCAAGCAAAAAGTATCTATTGAGCTGGGTGCAGTGGCACATCCCTGTAATGTGGGCAATCCCAGCTACTTGGGTGGCTGAGTCAGGAGAACTGAAAATTTGAGGCCAGCCTAGGCAATTTATATCCTATCCGAAAAAAATAAAAGGTATGGGCCAGGCATGGTGTCCCATGCCTGTAAGCCCAGCACTCAGGAAGCTGAGGCCGGAGGATCCTTGGGACTTCGAGGGCAGCCTGGGCTACAAAGTGAGCTCAAGGCCAGCCTGAACTGCATAGTGAGACCCTGTCTCAAAAAGACAAAAAACCCAAACAAACAAAAATAAAAGGTACAGGGACATAGCTCAGTGGAAGCATGGCCCTGAGTTTGATTCTCAGTTAAAAAAATAAGAGCCAGGCTTAGTGGCACATGCCTGAAATCCCAGCACTCAGGAGGCTGAGGCGGTAGGACCAACTTGAGTTGAAGGTTAGCCTGGACTACAGAGTGAGACCCTGTCTCAAAAGAAGAAAAAAAGGAGAGAGACAGAAAGAGAGAGAAAGAAAAGAAAAAATTGCCATGGTGCATTTTATACAATGAAATATTATTCAGTCTAAAAAGAAAATCCTAAAAAAACATCAATTAATAAAAAGAAAATCCTGTTGTAATCTACCACATGGATGAATCTTGAGGACATTACATTAAATAAGCAAATCAAAAAAGACAAATACTGCATGATTCTACTTATATGAGGTATCCAAAGCAGTTCCAGAATTCTAATTTTTTTCTTGAAAGTTACAATTTTATCACTCGCAACAAATACTATCAGTGTTTTCATTAAGTAACAGACTCACTTCTGTCACTGTAGAGAAAAGATTTTACTAATACCCAAGCCTAACTAACCAGCTTGTCAGTCAGCTGTTCTTCCACGGAAGAAGTAGCCTTCCGCCAGGCACAGTGGTGCACTCCTGTAATCCCGGCACTGGGGAGGTTCTGTCACAAGTTCATGTCCTCTTGCGAAACTTAGCAACACTTTGTCTCCAAAATAAAAATAAAAAAGGGGGCTGAGGATGTAGCTTAGTGGTAGAATTCCCCTCTGTTTGACCTCTAGTAACACACACAAAGGGGTATTTCAGGCCAACAGCTAGTTCAGCTCACAACTCAGTTACACCCATGCTTTCCCTTAAGACAACCACTAGATCATTCTTCTGTATGAGGCAAAAGTGCTCTTGGAGTACTGAACTCTCATTTCATCACTCAGAGGATTAAAAATAAATACTCAGGGGTCGAGATGAATTAAAACCAGTAATTTTTAGTACTTCAACAAAGACATTTTTAACTGTCATGGGAAAATAGAATTAAAACGTACAGGTACAAATTCTCTCTGATGAATGTGATCAATATGTATAAATATGTACTAATAAAAATAAAGATTAAGAAAATAATAACTGTTATTCCCCCCTGTAAGTCAGCAAAGGGAAGAACAAAGGATTACTAAGACAGGTTGGTGCCAGCTGCCCTGATTTATGCAAAGGCACCCACAGTTTTAATGACCCTGAAGGTAAATGCCAACTCAGTGAAGAGGCAAAGTCTGACTATGAACCATGAAAACAGCTGTGAATTTACAGGCCCTTGAAAAGTGGAGCCCCAGAAACCCACAAAGTAGTCTGAGAATTGGTTTACCGAGCTGACTGCTGTGGAACGGGACAATTAAACAGTTATTCCCAAGAGTTAAAGAACTTTCAAAATTACTCCGCAAATGACCCAAGGAAGGGAGGCTGTAGGGGAAAGTGACTGGGGTATGCTGCCATATTGTTTGACTGCTAATCCCAAATCAGACGTTACAAAATATAAAGTCTAGTATTCTTTCTTTCTTACAGATCTGATTATGAAAGATTTGGCAGAGGGAGCCTAATTTGAACCAGCTGCTGGACTCTTGCTGCACAGCACTTGGTTAGGACCCAATGCCAAAAGGCCCCCCTTTTGTGGGAGGCCAGATGAGCTCATGCAAAGGCGTTTGAGCAGCTTTTGCCCAGTAAGTCCCATAAGCACAACACCATTCAATTTCCCACACTGCGAGTAGCCTCCCTTTCTGAGTAGCCTCCCTTTCCAAAGCTTATAGGAAAAGACTACAAAATCCACAGCACCTATGAATCCAACACATCTTTTTCCTGTATTGTGTATCTGACTTTAATCTCAGGAAGTGTGTAAAATAAGAACTATCACCTTCATGTTTTACTTAAGTCATCACTGGCCCGAATGTCAGTTATTAAGAACACACGTGCGCAAGCGCACACACACACACACACGCACAATGCACACGTGCATGCACACACACACACAGAGCTTTGGTTTCCTCAAGTATAAAGGTGCAATCCAATATAAACTGTAACTCATTAATTTATATCACTCTAACAATGTTATCTGATTCTGAACTGTAGTTAATTCCTAACTTACCAGGGACTATTTAATTTTGAGGACAATCAAGATCCTTAATTTTTTTCCTTTGCTTTATGTTTATGCTATTTTTTCCCGTATATTCACTTGTCAGAATACACTCGAGTATTAAAAGTAGAAATACAGAAATTGAACAGTCAGCCCTTTCTCATTACTCACATAAAATCTCAAACCCTCCCTTTCCTATACTAAAAAGACATCTGCATACCACTTCTGGTCTTGCCTCCTGCTGCAGGGTACCTCTTGGTCTGGTTCCATTTTTGCATCTAAATGGCTACATTCTCCCTTTCTGCCTGATGGAGGATTAAGCTCCACTTAATTCTCTCAGGTAGTAGATTCAATCAATTCCCTCTGGACTGCAAGGACACATGGAAAATCTAAAACTTTCACCTGCCTGTCATCTTTGACATTCCAATATTCTCCGAACAAGGAATAAAGAATCCCTGGTGTGATATTAATTAAACTTATTAAGAAACAACATGAGTATGATAACGCACACCTAAAATCCTAGCACTCTAGGAGGCTCAGGCAGTAGGATTGGCACGAGTTGAGGTCAGCCTGGACTACACAGTGAGTTCAAGGCTAGCCTAAACTACATAGCTAGACCTTGTCTTAAAAAACAAAACCAAAAAAACTACAGCACAGAAAGGTTTAGTAATGTGCTTCCAATTACTACAAGTAGTGGAACAGGAATTAAAATTCAATGTATTGTGGATTGGTCCCTTCTATTAAACCTTTGGGGTTTTTTGTTTGTTTAATTATAATAGCTTCACTGAAAAAAATTCACACAATATACAGTTTACCCACTGAAGTTCAATGGTCTTTAGTATTCACATATTCAAAGTTGTGCAGCCACCACCATATTCCATTTTTAGGAGATTTTTCATCACCTCAAAAAGAAATCCTGTCCCCATTAGCAGTCACTCCCTATTTCCCCCTAACCCTCAGTACCACGACGTACTTTCTGTCTCTACAGATTCACATCGTATGGACATTGCACATGAACAGAATCATACAACATGTAGTCTTCTGTGTTTGGGTTCTTGCACTTAGCATATTTTCAAGGTTCATTCATGTGGCACCAATGTGTCAGGACTTTACTCCTTTTAATTGTTAAATAGTACTCCATTGGTTATATCACATTTTGTTTATTCATTCATCAGCTGTTGAACACTAGGTTTCCAGTTTTGGGGTACTGTGAATAATGGTGTTATGAACACTCATGTGTAAGTTCCTGTGTGGAGCCCAGGCGTGGTGGCACACACCTGTAATCACAGCACTTGGAAGGCTGAGACAGGAGGGTTGCCATGAGTTCAAGACAAGCCTTGACTATAAAGTGAGTGCAGACCAGCCTAAACTATACAGCCAGACCTTGTCTCAAAAGAGGAAAAAAAAAAAAAAAGATTCTATGTGGACATAAGTCTCTTGATATAAAACATGTTTAGTAACAAGATTACTAAACATATGACTGTGTTTATTTAGCCTTTGGAGGTACAGGTAGATTGTTTTCCACAGCAACTGTACCATTTTACATTCTCACCAACCGTGTGTAAAGATTCTACTTTGTCCACGTATTTGCCTACACTTACCATCTTTTTTTGAGAGTGAACCAAGGGCCCTCACACTGAGCTACATTCTCAGTCCTTTTTGTTTGGAAATAGGGTCTCATACCAAGTTGCTTAGGCTGGGCTTGAACTTTTAATGCTCCTGCCTCAGCCTTCAGATTGCTGGGCTTACAGACATGTGCCATCATGTCCAGCTTATTAAGTCTTTTTAGTTACTGCTGTCCTGGCAGGCAGGAAATGGTAACTCACTCTGGTTTTGTGCCACCATGTTCCACCACGGGCTTTTTATTTGAGGAGTGATATAAACACAGTGAATTTTTTAAAAAATTTTTTTACAGTTACAAGATTTTAATACAGGATGATTAACGTCCTGATTCAAGTTTGAATGAAATACTATAGGAATGCTTATGCCAGTGTCTGTCACATAGGAGGACCTCCAGGAAAACCTTTTGGAAAGAATCCATAAACGAATGGCAGTGTGCACCTGTTATGGTTGGGAATAGTTTCCCCAAAGAGGTAACACCAAACTGGTTTCTGTAGGGCCTGTAATGTTTGGATTGTGAGGAGCAAAGGACCAGGCATTTCTCCTGTAAGCACAATATAAGAAATTTTATGTTGTTTGCACTATCTCTTGGTTTTTTCACTGAATGATCAATTTTATGTTATTCCTCTTTGCAACATCTAGCAGCTGTTGGATTGAGTTTCATGGTTCCTTGCCTTCTTTTTTGTTTGGAGACAGGGTCTCACTATGTAGTTCAGGCTAGCTTTGAACTCACTATGTAGCCAGACTGGCCTTAAACTTGTAGCAATCCTCCTGCATCAGCTTGCTGAGTGCTGGAATTACAGGCATATGCCATCATACCCAGCATCCCCTGCTATTTTTAAGAAAGTTTTCTTTGCATGATTGCTAACTGTAATCCTGTCTTCTATATCTGGGATTCTGTCCTCATTTTCTGCTGCATATACTTTCAATACAATTTTTAATCTCATGGGTATCAGTTTGAATCTTTTTCATGGATTCTATTTCTTTCCTATGTTGGATGTTCATGGCTTCTATCATTTTCCTAAGCTTCTCTATTTTTCCATTTAAATCTGTATCTGCTCTAGAGTCACTAACCATGTCTTTCATTATGGTCACCACTTCTGTAGTTATCTGAGAAATTATTTCTGATGTGATCTTTTTCTAGAGCCTCGTTCATCTGCTTTATGACTTTTGCTGTTACCACTTCAGAGAGTACAGGTTGGTGCTTTCAAACTGTTCCACCTCATTGCACCCTGGGTGTGCCTTTGGCAAGCTGGAAGTCTGGGGTTGCATCTTGTTTTAAGTGTCTTCTCATTTTCTTTCTTTCTTCTTTTTTTTTTTTTTTTTTTTTTTAGTTTAATTCTTAGGTTGATGCTTATAAATTGCTTACAGCAGGTGGCTTTATTGCTAGTATTTAGAACCCTTAGGAAATGACTACTTCTTAGAGATGTCTTCCAGGTGTAGCTGGCTTTTGGGTTTTGAGTCTGTTGCAAGATCCTACCTCCTCAGTTTATTAGGGATGAGAAGTTGATGCCTTTTGGTTCTAGCCCCTGGTTCTTTGGCACTAGCCTGTAGTGTTATTTATGACCCTTAGGCAACCTCAGTCTTGGCATACCAGGGGGAGGAACAACTGATGAGAATTATGTCACCTTGGCTAAAGTAATACAATCAGCAATAACAATAGTATCAAACACAACCTAGAAAATGACCAACTGTGGTAATTATTAATTTGCCACTTTTAACTGTATGAATGATGTCTGTGTTATTTAACAAAATCTGCAACCAGAAAATTGTATATAGTAAATACACCCTCAATATGGTGATTTTACCCTCAGGAGAGGAAAAAAAAATTTTATACCATCTGCTTTTTTGGGGGGGTATTTTATTGGTATATTTTAGATACACACAATGGTAACACTCATCATAGGGAGTTTGTACCTGTACATGATAGTGCTTGCTGCTTCTTTTTTTCCCATTCCTCTTTTCTCCCTTAAGCCCTTCTTCTCTTCTTTATTTATAAGAGCTTCATTTCCATTTTTTGCTTCTATTCTTTTTTGTGTCCCTTCTTTCCTCTTGTTCTCTCCCCTCCCTTTTTTCTTCTCTCATCTGAATGTTTTCTTCCCATTTCACAGTATCTATTATACATTTGGTTTAGGATTAAACACTTTTGGTTTAGGAGAGAAAATGTGAAAGAGTTTAGGGGCAAAAATGAAGAATAGAAGAGGAAGAGATTAGAAGCGAGGCAGGAGAACAAAGGAAGATTACATGAACTTTGGGAAACTGGTGAAAAAGACAGGAAGGAAAGAGAGAAGAAAAAATAAAAACAAGACTAAAACAGAATGACACTAAAAACCTATAAACAATGTTTGCACTCATATAAAAACAAGAACAATGAAGAACAAAACAAAACAAAACAAAAAGTATAAAAGAAAAAAACAAGTCTACTTTAGGGGGTGTCTCTGCTATCACTGGTAGACAGCACGGGCAGACAGAGCCCAGATCTGTGTGGATTAATCCTAGCAAGCTCACTATAGATTTACAGCAGAGTAGTGGATAATCCCAGAAAGCCTACACCTTTAGTTCCACTGAAGTTCAGGCTGGTTTCTGGCTGTGAAGCCGCAACTTGATTTGTTCAGCCTGTAACACTTCAAGTGCCTCCTGCCAGCTTGAACTCGGCTCCTTGACCTCCTGCTGACTTGAACTCAGTTCTGCTTCATTCTGACACTGTCAACTGCTAGACAGAGCCAGCCTGCAGCTGCTCTGAGTTCCAAGCTCAGGTGACCCCGCTCCAAGATGGCTACCAGCCAACTGCGCTTTCCTGGAGGAGGTCTAAACCTGAATAACTCACCAGGCACTGCAGGCCACTGCATCCACTGCTCTGTCCCACTGGTGGATTTCTCTGTGGAGGCCTCTGGGGTCACAAGTAGTTACAATGTGTTGCAGGTTCAAGCCACCCCTGAGGCAGTGAGTCAGAGCTCAGGGAGAAAGTGCCACTTGCCATCTCCTTCTTCTTCATTGAGGTCTCTCTTCATTCTTCCCATGGGGTTCAGTTTTTGGTTCAGATTCTTGCTGGGTCCTGGGGACCCACTTCCCTCTTCCTGCTCTTCCTCACATTGCTATATTCAAGTGTTTGGGCACCAAATCTCAGAGAGGTTGTTTCTCTGCTGTTCACCACTCAGCCATTCCATTTTCTGAAGCAGTTCTGGAAGTCCTCTTTTGTGGGTGTTTTCACATAGGTGTCTTTTATGGCTTATACCACACCTGGCTCTACCCTCCTTTTCATCAGAACTAGAGAAATAAACTTCCACAAAATTTAAACTTAAAATATCTCTACAGTCATACTCTTAAAGTTCTAAATCTTTAGAATATAAATTTAACTGCTATAACTATTAAAACATAACTACATGTTTCTGTAGGATTCCTGCCATGTTCCCAATATAACTGTGACAGAGTAGCTACAGTTTAAGTAACACAACTTAACTAAGATATTTTGAGAGCCTACTACAGGTGAAGTGCTAAGATAGCCAAGTCTTGGTTCCTGATTTCAAGGAGGCTAAAATTTAGTGGATATAAAAAAATGCAGAGAACCTGATGGTTGAATTCACTTTCCTGTAAAACTCTTCTACCCTGAAGGAATTAAGGAGTGCAAACCTCTGTATCTGAGTCTCAGTCCATCCTATATCTCTAGTCTGTGAACTAGGAATTCCAGCTCCAAATTATAGATACTCCTGGAAATCTACATGGTCTTGCTATGAAGTCCATGCCAACCTCGAATTATGTGTAGCCCAGGCTGGCTATGAACTCTCTCCTCCTGCTTCAACCTCCTTTCCTTTTTATTATTATTTTTTTAAACAGGGTCTCACTTCATAGTGCAGGCTGGCCACGAGCTCGTGGCAATGTTCCTGCCTCAGCCTCCTGAGTGCTGGGATTACAGGTGTGTACAACTCTGCCCACCTAAAATTATATATATATATATACAATATTTTATAATTAAAATTATATAGACATATATAAATAAAATTATAGGGGTTGGGGATGTAGCTCAGTGGACAAGCGCCTGCCTAGTAAGCATGAGGTCCTGAGTTTGATTCCCGGCATTAATCAGTCAATCAATCAATCAATCAAATAACATGTACAATAATTATATATAATTAAATTATATATACAGAAAGAAAGGGAGAGAGGCTGTAACTCTGTATTGTGTGTGATACTAGGTATTGAACAAAGGGGCCTCACAATGAACTATATCTCCAGTCCTTTTTTATTCTGAGACACACTATTGCTATGCTGTTAAATTGCCCAGGCTAGCCTTGAACTTGCAATCTTCCCCCCTCAGCCTCCCACAGTGCTGGGATTACATGTGTTCATTACCACTCCTGGCTTAAAATTATATTTTTATTAAAAGAATAATACATGTAAGGGAACTTTGCAAGTTGGAGGAAATTCTATATAAAATGATAATCTTGGCTGAGCATGGTGACGCAAGCCTGTAATCCTAGCACTCGGGAGGCTGAGGCAGGAGGATTGTTGTGAGTTCGAGACCAGCCTGAGCTACAAAGTCAGCTCAAGGCCAGCCTGAACTGCATAGCGAGACTCTATCTCAAAAAGAAAAAAAAATCGTATAATGCAATGAATATTCTTTGTCTTCTCAAAGCAGGAAGTTCCCAGTGCTCCCTATGGGATATACCAGATGGTTCTGTCGTTGCTCTTTGACTCCCTAACGCTGTAAGGGTTTGGGTTTCTGTTCACTCTGTTTTGTTTTTGGAGACAGAGTCTTGTTGCACCTTCCTGCCACAGACGTGACCCTGCTGCCTCAGGCGCTGAGTGGTGCGATTAGAGGCATGAGCCACCACGCCTAACTGTAGGGCTCTTTTTCAGTGTGCAGCTTTTGAATTCTGGAAACACTTGAGTCTTTTTTAAGTCCATGTAAAACTCAATTTGATTTTTTTCTTTCTTTTTGTCTTGTGAAACTGAATTTGAATTGAAGTAAAACCAAATTTGAATATACTTTTCAGTTTTATAGTTATTATCCCTTAAGACATCCTGGCCCCCATCTAAATTTCTCTTTTCTTTTCCCTTTCAATTCCCCACATCTTTCCAGGTGTGGTGGTGCACACCTGTAATCCCAGCACTTGGGAGGCTGAGGCAGGAGGATTGCCATGAGTTCAAGGCCAGCCTGGACTATATAGTGAGTTCAAGGTTAGCCTGAACTACAGAGCAAGACCCTATCTCACAACAAAACAAAACAAAATAAAACAAAAGCCACCCTGTAAAATCAGTTCCCCACATATGGCATGCTAGAAACATTGCTTCAGGTCAAATCAAAGTTTATTTGAGGGAATCAAAATTGCATATTTTTATATTTATAGAGACGTGAAAGAACATTTTTGGCTGAATTGTGTGGTTTATCTGGAGTACCACATTCTGATTTAAATAATTTCATCACCCATTCAAAAGGCTGCTACAATTTCAGTGGTTTTCTAGTCATAGTCAATAAAATCAAGAAAAAACCTCTATTATCTCCATGACTAAGCAAGTTTTAAAGCGAGTGGTTAGGAAGTTGTTTCAACAGTTTAAAAACCACACAGAAACAGTAGTGACAGAAACATTTATTCTAAGCTAGGACCTGCAAAATGATCAATAGGTTGTAAGAAAAGTTTTTGTTTACATCAACTACACCAGCTATTTTAGGCACCTAGGATAATAGAATTCACTTTAAAAGTCTTCAAAGGTTTAGAATAGGATAAATATTTATTGTCGTTAGTTCTTACCTTGTGGCAACAAGAGGATAGCTATGACACGGTGACGCCCAGGCATCTCTTGTCCACGGCATGCAGTCATAAAGCAGCAAATCTTTCTCCGTCACAGCCATGAGGACAGGTCTCCACTGCTGTCTCCCACCATCTAGTTTTGCCTGTTACAGTGGTGAAACCCGGACATCAGAGCTGACTACAACGCTATGTCTTTGTAAAAGTTCCTTCAGTGATGGCCTGACACGCAGGCCTCCATTTTGTTTCTGCAACTTGACAGACTTGAGACACAGGAAACATCCCTTCAGGAGCCTTTCCACTGGCTGGGATTCTCCCCTGGGAGGTATGAGGTATTGTGTGTATTTGAAAAAGTTCCCCCAACTCCAGCAAGTGCAGACATTACCTACTGATATGACAGTTTTTTCCCTATTCCATAATAACTATCACTGGTTCTAATTAAATATATAGGGGCCAGGGACCTAGCTCAGCAGCACAGAGCCTGCCTGGCAAGTGCAAGGTCCTGAGTTTGATTCCTGGTACCAGAAAAAAAGATTAAATATATAGTAATATGTTCAACCTGGTAATAGTTGTAGTATAGTGACTAATATATTCTAAGCATAGGATAAAAATTACTGATACATACTTCTACTAGGAGGACAGAAAATCTCTCTGTCAAATAAATCTGTATAATCTAAACAGTAATTTTTTTTTATCAAGACCTACAGTAAGAAATACATTTTATACTGCAACCCATTCCACACGTACATATATATGAATGTTTTGAATATTTTCCCCAATATACTTTAGAAAATATTGGATATATTCCCACTTCACCTCCAATACACATATACCCATGTAGAAGTATTTTTGAATATTTTCCAATATATTTTGGAATGTACTGAATAAATCTCAAAATAATACAAGGTCTTATTAAGTGTCTAAGTTGCCCAGGCTGGCCTCAAACTTGCAATCCTCCTGACTCAGCCTCCTAGAGCTGGGATTACAGGTATGTGCCAGCATGCCGAGTGTGAAATGAATTATATCCAGTGAAGGGACCTGTGCTTTACCATGTGCCAAAAACAACAAAAAAGCATGAGCTGACTCTGAAAATTCTAGCAAAATACTGCAGAAAGAATTACACTTTTGTTATCAATTAGCCCTAGTTTTCTTTTTTCGTATGTATGTATATATGTATTTAGGGGTGCTGGCCACTGAACCCAGAGCCTTTGTATTAAGCTGCATCCCATCCTATCTTAAATTTTGAGACAAGGTCTCACTAAGTTGCTAAATGGGCCAGGGTGGGCTCAAACTTTCTATCCTCATTGTATTTTCAGAACTCTCTCAGAGTGCTGAGATTACAGCTATGTACCACCAAGCCCGGCTAACTAGTTTGCTAAGACTGTATTAGCATATAAGTAACTCTGTAATATCTGGAAAGAGAATATCAACTCTAAGGAGGCGCTCTTAGATTCTTACATTTTTGTAACCCCCAAAAGGATTTCAACTTTATGTTCACTACTAAGCTTTTGTCTCTAAGATTGTTATGGATAATATTTCAATAGAAAAATAATGTAAAATTTAACTTCACAAAGAGTTAAAATAATAATAATAATAATAATAATAATAATTATAATAATAATGATCTGAGAGGGGTTTTTTTTGCTTTTTTTGTAACAGGAATCAAACTCATGACCTTGCACTTGCTAGGCAGGCACTGTGCTATATCCCAGGCCAATAATCTGAGGTTTTAAAATAAATTTTCTCCTAAATTACAATACAGAGATTTCAGATCAGACCAAGTACTTACATTTGGAAAACCTGCATTAAATCTAGTTTTTCCAAAGAAGGTATTTTGGGCCTGAAAGGGAAAATGGTAAGACCAACAGAAGCAATGTCCATCCAATTTCATGAAAAGGAACATTTGATTTAACAATTTTTTTGTTGTTATTTTGTTTTTGTTAGATGGTCACTCTGTAGCCTGGCCTATCATTAACAAATTTTTTAAAGTGTTTATTCTTTAGCTCTTTTAAGTCATTAGGCTTTAGAGAACAACTTTTCCTTCTTTTAGTCATCACTGGAGAAAAATGAAACCTCAATTGTAATCATTCTGTTCACCTATTTGCCCTAACTTTTAATGACACTCTTTTCAGCGGCATCAAAATGCTGCCCACTCCAGTACAGTACGTGCTGTGTTATCAGCACAGCAGGCTTGGGGCTCCAGTACTTTCTGGCTGCAGCAAAAGAGATATAATGTTAGGGTTTTTGTTTGCTTGTGCTTCAACACCTGCACGTACATATACTGGCCAAAGAACAGCCTTCTTCAAAGTCCATTTTCTAATAAATACAGTTGGATAGTATTAAAGATGAAAAATACTAATAGTCAATATTAATTTCCTAAATTCCATAATCATACATCTCTCTTTTTGAAAAGTGATGCACTTTTTTTGGGGGGGCGGTTTGTTGTACTAAGGGTTGAACTCAAGGCCTTGTGCATGCTTAGGCAAGCATGCTACCACTGAGCTTCATCCCCAATTGTTATTTTTAGATAAGGTCTCACTAAGTGCGCCAGCCTGGCCTTGAACTTGTAATCCTCCTACCTCAGCCTCCTTAGAAGCTGGGACTGCAGGCCTGTACCACCAAGGCTGGCCACTTCTGTTCTTTATTTTACTATTGCAGTAGAAACCAGACAGCAAAATCTAAATTAACCATTCTGCTAATCCTAATTTAGCATATGTATCCCTAACTTGAGTCTTTATGCAACTTGTGAATTATTAGGAACATAATAGTTTTTTGTTTCTTTTTTTGTGGGTACCAGGAATCAAATTCAGGACCTTGCGCTTGCCAGGCAGGCGCTGTGCCATGGAGCTATGTCCCCAGGCCAGGACTTGTTAAAAACAAAGCTCTTCTCTGGCTATCTTGGCTTTTCTCATCACTTCCAAAATTCTTTTTAAAAACTGAACTAATTAATTAATTAATTGAGACAGGGTTTTGCTATGTTGTGCAGGCTGGCCTTGAACTCACTTATGTAGCCCAGGCCGGTCTTAAACTCACAGGGATCCTCCTGCCTCAGCCTCCCAAGTGCTGGTATTACAGCCCTGTGCCACCATGCTTGGTTTAAAAACTGAATTTATAGGTAACAGAGGTCCTATCTTTGGTGTAATTCAAGAAAATGCCTCTTAAAGAATATAACCAGATTCAAAAAGCACAGGCAAAAAAAGTAAAAATAAACAAATGAATTTTATCAAATTATAAACTTCTCACCATAAAGGAAACTACAGAGTGAAGAACCCAGATTGGGAGAAAATATATATAAACCATACATTAAATAAAAGACTAATATCCAAAGCGTACAGGAACTCAAACAACACTGGCATATTACTGTTACTTTACCCTAATTGTTCTGGGATTGTACTAGGATCTAATCCACTGCATTTAGTTGTCATATCTTCTTAGTTTACTTCAGTTTATGATGACAGTGTCTCTTTCTTTTTTTGTTGTTTTGTTTTTTTGAGACAGGGTCTCACTATGTTGCTCCAGGCTAGCCTTGAATTTTCAGCAATCCTCTTGCCTCAGCCTCCAGAGTGCTGGGGTTTTATAGGTGTGCACCACCACACTTGGCTCCTGAGCTTAACAGTTTTGAGGAGCACTAGTCAGGCATTGTACATAGACTGTCCCTCAGCTTGAGTCTGCCTGAGGTTTCTCTTATAACGAAACTGTAGTGATAGTGTTTGGGAAAGGATGCCCTGGTGACAAAGTCCCCTTCACATCATCCTCTTCACATGATCATCTTGTATCACTAGTGATTTAACCCGCTCACTTGGCTCAACAAGCTTATTCTAAGATTTATTTGGAAATGCAAAGGATTTATAGTAGCAAAAACAAAGTGAAAAATAAGAGTAAAGCTGCAGGATTTATTACTACCTGACTTAGTGCAAAGCCACAGTAATGAAACCACGTGGGAATGGCCTCAGGTAAGACAAATACATCATAGAAACAGTGCAGACAGTTCAGAAAGAGGCCCAAACTTATACAGCCAATCAATTTTCAACTAAGATGTAAAAACGATTCAATAGGATTACAGGTGTGTGCCACCACGCCTGGCCAGTATAGGTACAGTATTTCTTGTTTTAAGCAAGAAATATGTATGTATATATATATATAGGTATATATGTAGTATGTATGTATGAGACAGGGTCTCACTATGTAGTCCAAGCTGGCCTTGAATTTATTATGTAATCCAGGCTGGCCTCAAATTCCTAGCAATACTCCTGCCTCGGCCTCTCAAGTGCTGGGATTACAGGTGTGCACCATTATGCCTGGCTGCAAACTCAATTTATGACAATATTAAATAATTAAAAAAAAATCCAAGGAGAAATCATTTCAAGTTAAATGATCTTTCCTAAATTCTCTGAAATTACTTCGCCTAACTTTCATTTACATGAAAGCTTTTCAAGAAATATCTTCTGCCAAAAGGAATATTTGTACATATATAACACATCACATGACCCAAATTTTTCTTCATTTTCACAGTTATAGGTAGAAAGAGCTTTGGCATTTACTCTAGTTCAAAGTGTATTAAATATGTAAACTCATGATTAACACTTTTATCTTTTTAGATCAGGTCTTGCTATGTTCTCCAAGCTGGCCTTGAACCTGAGATCCTCCTGTCTCAGCCTCCAGAGTAGCTGGGATGCCAGACAGTGGTATCATGCGTGGCTCCCTATAACACTTTTAAGAAATGATATTAAGTCTTGGTTGAAGACCTTACTGGTTTTTGTTTGTTTGTTTGTTTTTTGAGACAGAGTCTGTAGTTCAGGCTGGCCTCGAACTAATTATGCAACCCCAGCTGGCCTCGAACTTACAGCAATCCTCCTGGTTCAGCCTCCCATGCCCGGCATAAACACCTTCTCTGAGAATAAAATTTGATTTAGGTATTCCATGCAACTACTTCAAAAAATAAAAATCAAGAGTATTTTAGAAACAGTTCCAGCCAGATATGGTGGCACATACCTGTAATCCCAGCACTAGGGAGGCTGAGGCAAGAGGACTGCTTCAAGTTCAAGGCTAGCCTCAGCTACATAGTGAGTTCGAGGCCAGCCTGAACTGCATAGCAAGACCCTGTCTCAAACAAAACAAAACCAAACAAACAGTTCTTTGTATCAGT